ATATACCGCAGCATGATAGGCGTGTTTCGTGATTAAAGTGTTGCAAGAAGTCTGAACCAATGATTGCGATTTTGGTATCAGCTATGGTAAAAATCCATGTGAAAGGGCGACGTAAACCGAGATCCAGCATAAGGCGAGTGGTGCCATAAGTTTTGATTGCTGTTCAATTGGCTGCAAATAGTGTATGTTCATTAGTGACTGCGATGTATTGATTAATTATGCTGGGTGGTATAACAGGTACGTCAGCTCCAGTGTCGATAAGAAAACTTTTACCCGATTTTGAGTCTGGAACGAAGAGACGATTGGAGGACGAAATTCTGCAGATGTTTACTTTGAGCAATGGGTAGCGTTGTGGCGCATTTGCGTCACGACCGTTGGAACTGCCCTGTTGATTTCCAACGGTGGTGCTTAGTTTTTTGAACTGTTGTTGACATGGAAAGAGCACGGTTGGATGCAACGTTGGGCACTGTCCGCGTACTTGTTGTGGTACCAGCAAAATTGAGGGTGTGTTGCTCCGGTAATTGTTGTTGCTGGGCGATCGATTGTAGCTCCAACCTCGTTGCTGATTTGTGGTGCCAAGCAGGTGACTTAGCTTGTTGTTGATCTGCTGCAGAATCTTGTCATTATCGTCCAGGCATTTACTTAATTGTGTGATGCGATCCTCCTGTGAAGCATGGTGGGTGTTTTGCTGTGATACCGCACAGATGTGGTCTGAAGCGTCGTAGTTAAGAGAATCCATCACAGCACCGGCGGCAGTTGCGAGCTGCGCGAGGGTGGTGTTGGGAGAGCTTTCAAGGAGGCCTACGATCACTGCACGTGCCGGAGGTGGTAGGCGCTTGACCAGTAGCGACGGACAACCGATTCATCATTGGTGGCGTTAGTTTGCTGCAATTGACTGAGTAGATGACTTGGACGACCGTCGCCGAGTTGAATTCCTGTCGCAAAACTGTCGAGGCGCACCATCTCTGATTTTGCCAATTTGGACAAAATGGTTTGTTTAAGGGTGGAGTACGGATTCGTTTGTGGAGGGTTGTTGACAAGATCGTGCACTTGATCCAGGTATTTGGGATCAGCGTACGCCATTACTGCTGCGTATTTCTCTTGCTCTTTGCGTGCACCGAGGCCTTGCAGGATAAACTAGCTTTCCACTTTGGTGAAACACATTTCGGTGTTGGTGATGGAATGTAGTTGAGGGAAGGGCATTTTAGCAAATACCGAGTTAACAACATTCGCATCAGGAATTTGCAATGGCTCCTGCGCGTCGACAAAATCTTCGTTGTTCTGCATTGTCTTAGGTTAGGATGAGGTTCTGCGTAAAACTGGACTTCGTTCGCTTTTATTGCAGATGTTCGAATTGTCGGGGTCACCAGTTATTATTGGCTAAACAACCAAGGAACAACCTTGCGCTTGATTAAATATAAAAGACTTTAAGTTTAAACTATAATTTATTTTGTATTCGTTAATTTGATGAAATATTATAAATTTGTGTTCTCTTTTTGTGGGCTTTTGTAGAGTCGGTTAGGGCAGAGTGTGACCAAAATATATTCTTGGATAAATCTTAAATTCTTAAGGTTAGGTAACACATAATTAAAGAATAAAATAGTTGGGGAATAGGTAAAAGTACTTCTATAGTTCATGTAGAATAATTTTGACTTTGATTGTTGAAACACCCGGAGAGTGCAGACGTGTTTTGCGCGAGCTCCGGAAAAAACAGCTTAAAAGTGAAAAACAAATAACTAAAAATACTGGAGTAGTGTAATAAAGTAAAATAATGATTAGAGCTATGAATAAAACTAGTGCAAAGTTATTATAAGAACTAAGAAGTGCCACGAGTGAAAGCGCAATGAGCGGCGATTCTAAAAATGAGCGTAGAAGCTCCGTAGACCAGAGAAAAAGTTATATCTCTTATTTCTCATCCCGTGATACAGAAGTAGAAAGAACTTCTTCAAAGAGCAACTAAGCCCTACTGACCATTTATTAATTAATTTCTGCAACCGCAGCCACTGCAACAACAACATCAACGGTCGCCGTTACCAACAACGCGATTTCGAATGCGTTTGCAACTTCTGCAGCGCCGAATAAAACTACAAAGCCAATTGTAAGCACGAGTGCCAATATCGGCAATATCAAACAACAACAGGTGGGTCCGGCTATACAGACTGGCATGGATCGTTACATCCAAATCAAACGGAAACTAAGCCCGCAAAATAAAATGGTTGGAAATAAACCAAAACAAAATTGCCCTAATACAGGCAGCGAACAACCAGGGGCATCTAGTAACAACAGATTCGCCATATTGTCGGAAATTGACAATAATCAATCCGAAGCTGGACAGGCTGCAAAAGAAACCAAAGCCAATTTTCATAAGGGAACAGAACTCAAATGCACTAGTAAAGAGAATTGTTGTGCTGGTCGTGAATGACAACTTTTATCTTACTCCTCTTGTTAAAGGGAATATTCATGAAACAAAGCTTCAAGCTAAAACTGAAGATCAATTCAGAGCTGTAACCAATTACCTAGACGATGCTAGGAAACCCTACTACACGTACCAGCTCAAGAGTAGCAAGGGCTTGCAAGTAGTGCTAAAGGGCATAGAGCCCGATGTATCCACCAATGAGATAAAAGAGGCACTGAAAGAAAAAGGATTTTTCCCCAAAAGTTTTATTAATATTATCAACAAAAATAAAAAGCCGCAACCACTCTTTAAGGTCGAACTGGAGCCAGAAAGCAGAGCCTTAAAGAAAAATGAAGTGCACCCGATCTACAAACTGCAATTCCTGTTGCATAGTATTACTGTTGAAGAACCGCATAAGCGAAATGGTGCGCTGCAATGCACAAACTGCCAAGAGTATGGACACACCAGAAACAACTGCGGGCTTCGATCAGTCTGCGTAGCTTGTGGTGGCTTCCACAGCTACGAACCTTGCCCTGTAAGCAAAGAAAACCCAAAGACGAAGAAATGCGCTAACTGTGGAGATAACCATACCGCAAACTTCAGAGGCTGCCCGGTCTATAAAGAGCGGAAGAGTCAGTTTCAACAAGCAAAACACGCACGCTCCCAGAATGCATAAAATGCGTACGTGCAATCCCAAACCACACCTAATGTTTTCTTTGCGAAAGCAGCCAGATCTTCATTTGGGCCCCTCAATGATGATGATGGAATTTTTGTCCTTCATGAAAACAACAATGGCAAACCTTATGCAGCATCAAAGCATTTTAATAAATTTGCTCACATCCCAACAATCTAAATAATCGATGTCTTGTCTTCGAATATCCATGTGGAATGTCTTTGGCGTTTCACGGCACATAAGAAAAAGTGGGTCCAGTTTTTGGGTCCGGGATTTTCTAAAATTTTGTTGGCCTGTGTAATTATTTGTCTAATGTCAATCTTCATGACTGTTAGTTAAGTTTTATTTTTAAGATTTGATTTACTTATTGTTAGTCTCATTAAAGAGACTATCCAATAAATAAAGGATATATGTACCCAAAAAGAACCACAATACTCGCAAAGAACGCCCATTTGCCCAATGCAAACGCTAGGATGGAAGCTGCAGTCGTATCGAAACGCAGCTCGATGCAAATCAACACTTGATAAATCCCTTGTTCTGCGTCGCACATTAAATATCTGTTGACCTCTGTTGTTCGCTCGTCGATTTTGAATTGCCAACCGAGCCGATTCACGGATCTGCCGAACTTTGGTCTTGTGATTGAGAAGCACGAAGTCGAGCCATACTAACGCGGCGTTGTACACTTGCAATTTCTTGTTCTTTTTAAATCCTTTCATTACCGATTTGTAGGGAAAGATTCGATCGTCTTGGTCGCGGCATAGTTAATTAACCTCCTTAGAACGTAGTTGGGCTTGGGTTAACCTAATGGAAGTTAAAGGTTCCCTTTCTATTTTGACATATATACATGTCGACGCAATACTGCTGAAACAATCGACGAAACCGAAATGATATTGATACTCACCATTCATTTCGATATTAAAATAATATCCATCTTTTTCTTGCCAAAACATCACATATTTGTTGGAGTTGCCCAGTATCGCCACGTTTAAGCACAATATCGCCTGTTTCCAATTGCTCACCAACAATTAGGATGACAACTTATTCTATTGTTGGAGACGGTTGTTTATCTGCTTTGGCAAGTTTTATCAATTTATTTATACCCCAGCAGCAGTTACGAAAATTAAATATTCTATAAAACGTCCATATTTTGATATTTTTAAGTACCGTTCCTAGGCAATACAACTGTCCAATTTTATAAAAAACAAGAAAGGAAGCAACCTTCGGTATGCTGAAGTTTTTATACCCTTGCAGTTATTACAAAACGACTACGTTTCGATTTCTACGCTTATACATATTTCTAAAAACAATGCAACTATGTCGATTTTGCGCTGCATTCTGTCATCGTTTTTATGCCATCTACATATATGCTATTGTTGTCCGATTTTGACAAAACTAAAAGCGTAATTCTGATATAGTAAATAATTACTATATCTCAAAGGAATATTTTGATAAATAGTAAAACATCAAAATAAAAATATAGATCAAGAACATACATATTTTATAGGGCCTGGAGACATTTCCGGCCTGTTCCGAATACCTGCAAAATAAAGAATCCTTTTTGTTCAGTTTCACTCATTCAACTTTAAAGCCTAGTATCCAGATCGACGAAATCCGTACGCCAGTCATGAGAGAAGCGAGAGGCAAACAGCTGGCGTTCACTTTTCGTCGGGCCTTTTTTTCACGTCGGTCCACAGATCGACGAAAAAAATACCAGAAAATTCCATAGCGTTGCCAGTCTGCGGAAATGAACTTTGGGTGGACCCTCGTCGAGACGACGTCTCGTCGTTCGTCTTTCTTCTCTCTTACTTCTCGTCTTTCTTCTTTACTTCTTTATGTCGTTCTTGCATTTCGTCGTTCGTCAGCTCAAAAAGGTTGTTGTGTAGGGTAAACTTATTGTGTAATGATTGCTACCCAAAGCAGACACACCCCACAGTTATTTATTATATTTATTATCTAATACATTTAAGAAAGAGAAGAAAATAGTTAACAAAAAATAAGTTACACCTACTCGAATTAAGTAATGTACAGCCAAAAAGAAATTAGAGCGCTTACTAAACATTAAACACTTAACGATAATTAAGAATACATAACCGCCATTATAAACATAGTAAGACCAATCATATTATGAAGAGTTTGTACAAAGTTTACTTCGATGTAAGTACAATTTTGCTGGATGGTATATCTTACAGTTATATGGCGAAACTATATAGGAACAAAATAGTTTTGACTAAATCCCTTACAATGATTATTATGCATTTTTTAAAACTAAGCAATTGGCAATACTAAAATGTACAAAGGTATCGGCGAGATTTTATCGCACTTTTTATTAACTATATTTTATTATTTCAAGAAATTTTCTATAGAAATCCAGGAAATTTTCCAAGTTGCATATCATGATTTTGTTCAGCACGCAAACTGACATATGTGGGCTGGTCTATTTCCCAGTCGGTACAATTATTTGGTTCGTAAACTTCAGTTATGAGTGGCCAATTATCTATTTTCGAAATGTCGTACTCCAGGCGCATGTATTTTTGCTTCGATGTGACCCAGTTTTGATCCCGCTTAACTTGGTATTTTTTGAAGACTAAATATTCAACTAAAAAGGACTCGACAAAAACATGACAAATAAATGCTGCTGCTCCGTAAACAAGCATAATGTAACGAAAGCTCATAACAGGAGGTACAATTAGCTGAAAAAAATTGGCTGCCCAGTCGCTGGGGTATATAACTAAATAGACTATGACGCAAGCATTTACAATAAATGCTAAACAGAGTGGCCAGTTCGACCATAGCGGTTTACGATAAGGCGCACCCTTTGAAAACACAAAAGCAAGTATTATGTACTGGAAACTAGATATGCAAAACATGGTGTAATTTTCATAGCAACCCAAATGTTCCTCGTCCGCATGCTGAAAAGGTTTAAACCAGGGCTGTTGATGAAGATGAATCCAACCTAAAAAAGTATGATAAAATTAAAAAAAAACTATTTCTTTTAGTTTTCATCCATATACTTACCAGTTACCTGGAATCCTGTTACAACAGTAAGATGTATTAATAGAGATGCTAGTGGCGTGGACGATATCAATGAACTGAGTGGCACTTGTTTTACTAGATTTCCATCAAATGCTTCAGTTTTACCAAAAAAGAAGGCAAATATCGATATCAGCCCAAGATCTACATAAAGATACTGCTTGTCGGTAAGATTCGAGTCGATGGAATACAAAATCATTACAGATATAAACTGAACCAGCGAGTAAGCTGCCATATACTTGAAAATACCGAAAGATGTGACTAATGCAGCGCGTCCTTCTTTTATAACATTTAAAACTGCCGAAATCGTGGGATTGCGTGAGGTAAACGGCGACGCTATAGACGCTTCGGTCTCGCTCAAGGAAATACCAGCATGAGCAACTTTCAATGCACCACAGTCGTTGGCACCATCACCGCACATGGCAACGCAATAGTCCAAATTTTGAAGTTCTATAATTAGTGCCTGTTTCTGATCCGGCGACATTCGAGCGTAAATTGATCCCCGCGTTAAAAGAATTTCCATTTCCTCGGGAAAATGGTCTTTTACTATTTGCCAAGTTTTACCATCCATTGCAAATATATAGTGTTGGCGCCAGCTTTCGTCTTGTGGGCGTTTTATTCCGAGCTCAACATCAATATCGGATCCCTCATTGTGGGTCCAAGTGTCGGTGGTCTTTACACTGGCCAAACTATCACTTGTCGGCAAAACACTTTCTGCATAACTTGAGCTCAATTCATTAACTAATGAATTTGTCGACTCTAGGCGAAAAAGTGTTGAAGCATCATCGACGCTACATACACTTGTACCATTTTCGTTGGGAAAAACATTACCATTAGCAGTCGATGTCAAATGAGAAGACGAAGAGATTTTACTTCCCAAATCTAAAGTATACTGTAACTTGTAGTGTATATCTTGATTTTTATCAACAATACATTCAGATCCAGTGGGGTTGGTCTGAGTATGCGCACCATCATTAAGGGAATCTGCGTGCACTGTAATAACTGCTTGTGATGTACTTACGATGCCACAGTCACGAGCAACGCTCATGGCGGTTAATATGTTATCGCCAGTTATCATAATAGTTCGAATATTGGCTGAGTTTAGAGCACTGATAACTTTAGCAGTATCATGTTTTAGACGGTTTTCAAGTATAACGAACCCAAGAAATTCCAGATTGTTTTCAACCTCTTCGCGGGATAGTCGCTGTATTTTTGTATAGTTCATCTTGTGGGCAAGAGCTTTGAAGGCAATGGCAATAACTCGGTATCCTTTTTTGGCAAATGCCGATAATTGCTGGGAGTAATTGTCGGGTAAGCTTTGCGGAGTGCACAGCTTTTGCAACATCTCAGGGGAACCTTTGCAGTAAATATTAAACACTTGGTCGCTGAGACAACGAGTAATAACAGACATTCGCTGAAGACTCGACGTAAATGGAAATTCTCGAACGATACCATGATCAAAATTCTTTTGAGTATGCGAGATGCCAACAGTGGCAAGTAAATCGTCTACAGAGGATTGTCGTTTAATTTGAGCTTTAGTTCCCATATCTAGGGAAGTAGAATCGGATCCACAAATTCTTGGTTGTCTTAAAATTGTTGGGTAAATAATACCATATTTCTCATTATCTGGTATGTTACTAGAATCTTCTAGTGTCCAACCCGTTGATTGAAACATTTTTAAATCCAACGGATCTCCCATCATTGTGCCTTTCATTACTGTGATAGAATGACACGTTACCATGCAGAAAAGAAAATGATCATAAGGCAGACGCTCCACATCTTTTAAGGGTATTTGAAATTGATTAGTTGATGATTTTGGCACAACCCCCCACATATCCAGTCCATCTTCAGTAAGAGTACCAGTCTGAAAAAATGAATAAATAAATAAAAAGTGTGTATATTATATTGTATATGAATAGTTCATAAAAATTCATCTTTCTTTTCAACCGCATTTGATTTTTAAATGCTTTTACTTTTGTGTAGTTTGCATTACAATACACAACATTCGCCAACTAATTTTTTTTGGCATAAAGTCGTTAAATGGATAAAAAGATATACAAAAATATATTAAAATATTATAAAAGTAGTTAAGTTATTCATAGTAAAATCACTTTGTTTAATAGTGCGGCAAACCCTACATATTTGTGTGCTTCTTAAAGTCAACTGATTAACGATACTTCTGGCACGTGCAAATGTGCTAAACGATTGTTTACGAATGTTTACTAATCTATTCCTCCTGGAAAATTTAATTTAGTAAGAACTTATGTGAACAATTTGCTATGCTAAGTATGCTATCCAAGCTAGTCCCTTTCAATAACAACAGGTGCGGGCTCCGCCCGAAGTTAGCTTTTCTTTCTTGTTTCTTATTGAGACCACCAAGATTTACTTAAATCTTTTTTAACGTTTCTACACCTTTAAGTGTTTTTTAACAACTTTATGTTCGCTTCGCGAGTGCATCGTGCTTAACTTGTGTTTAGAAAATAAAAAGTTTTTATCATTTAATTCGGTGCTGGTTTGTTGTTATTGTTTTCTATTGCCTCCCTTTTCATTCTTTCTCTTCGTCTTTGGGCGCTGTTGGAACGGCACGCACTCTAATGGTAATATCTCTCTGAGGTATCTTATACCGGAGTTAATTGGTTAATAATCCCGCTCTCTCTCTCTCTTTTCGTTTCTATCTCGTTTCGTGGTGCCTAACATCAAAGTTTATCGGTGTTTCGCTCCCGCTCTGTCGCTCTCCTTGCTCTCTCATTAAAAAGTTCTTGAGCGCTTTCGATTTTTTTGGCCGCTATAGTGCACAGTGGTCCGTGGTCAGTGATAATGGCTTTCTGTTCATTAAAAATTGAAAGAAAGTTATCTCGGCTGGACAGCAAAGTACCGGCCGATACTGATAGTACAGATACAAATTCTGTAGGACCAAAAAGGGTTGCATGTGTTGTACCAAAAACGGTTACTTGTGTTCGGGTGCCTCAGCTAAAACATGTATTTGTTTCACGGCTTGCCCCAGACCTCTCATCACTGGATATTACGGCTTATATCCGTAACAAAATCCAAGTTGATGATTTGAAGGTCGAACAATTTAAATTTTCTTATGCTAGGAAAGTATCATCATTTAAGATTAGTATTCCTTGTGTTCTTTTTGCATCTGTGTGCTCCACCAGCTTCTTGTCCGAGGGCATATTTGTAAAAAAGTACGAAGCTATGAGAAACAAGAGAAACCGCTATAGTCGAGTGCCTCGACTATTAGATACCCGTTACTCAGCTAAACAACTTAATATAAATATGCCTTCTTGTACAAGAAGGTTGTTGTTGCAATTGCAACTGAGTACAATGTAAATACATACATATGTATATGCTTACATAAATACACACATACGCCATTGTTTGACTCAGACCTCCAATTTGGCTAACTTGATTTGATTTGCATAGTTCTTGGGATATAGTTCGGTATTGACAAATGAAAACAAATGAAATTAGCGTTGACTCTGTTGAGCACCTTGGTCAGCTGTTCCAAAGTCATCCGTTAGATGGCGCCATAAAAGGCGGAAATGTAGGCGCTAGCCAGGCTAAAGCGTTTAATGGGTTTTTGAGCGTTAGAGTGGGCGTGGCAAACTTTTATTAGGCCAATCGATATTTATTGACGAAACAAATACATATCAATTAAAATTTTCATAATATCATCAAAACTGTGGCCACAGCTTGTGGCTTATGGGCGTCAGAGGGGGCGTGGCACCATTTTGAAACAAACTTGCGCTGCGTAGGAACTCCTCAAATCTACATGCAAAATGCCAATCTTCTAGCTTTTATAGTTTCCGAGATCTCAGCGTTCATACGGACAGACAGACAGACGGACATGGCTAGATCGACTCGGCTAGTGATCCTGAACAAGAATATATATACTTTATAGGGTCGGAAACGCTTCCTTCTACCTGTTACATACTTTTGCACGAATACAATATACCCTTTTACTCTACGAGTAACGGGTATACAAATTTTTTTTAAATATATACTCGTTTTTAAAACGCAAATCTTTTGTGGGCCACCCTTTATAACGGAACCCACAGATAAAATAAGGAGTTCAATGCATTATAAAATATATTAACGGCCTCAGCCATGTTAGTGCATGAATAAAGTTTAAAGGAGTTCAATGCATTATAAAATATATTAACGGCCTCAGCCATGTTAGTGCATGAATAAAGTTCGGAGCCGCCTAATAGATATTACTGTCCAGGCGAGATAATTTTCTTACTGTTTTTTAATGAGCAGAAAACCATTATCACTCGGACCACTGTGCAACTATAGCGGGCAAAAATCGAAAGAGCCCAATAACTTCTTGATGAGAGAGGAAGGAGAGCGACAGAGCGGGAGCGAAACACTGATTAACTTTGATGTTGGGCACCTCGAAACGAGATAGAACGAAAAGGGAGAGAGCGGGAGCGTAACACAAAATAACTCCGATATTAGACACCTCTGAGCGGGATAGACAGAGAGAGTGATAGGTCAGGAGCGTAACAACGTTAAGTTTTGCCAACTCCGCAAAAATGTTCAACTCCTCAAAGATATATTCAGAGAGGTAGAGGGAGATATTACCTTTGAAGTGCGTGCCGTTTCAACAGCGCCCAACGACGAAGAGAAATGCTTAAAAGGGAGGTAATAGAAAAACAATAACAACAAACCAGCACCGAAATATTGATTAAAAGTTTTATATTCTAAACACAAGTTAATCACGATGCACTCTCGAAGCGAACGTAAAGTTGTTAAAGACACTTAAAGGTGTAGAAATGTTAAAGAACATTTAAGTTAACCCAGGTGGTTTCAAAAGGAAAATGAAAATTCGGAGCGAAAATCAAAAACACGACCGTTCATTGAGAAGAGCGATTTTTCTTAACTAATAAACAATTTTTTTTTATTTTTTCTGATGATCCAGTAACGAGCTATGTTGCTCACCGCAAAACCTTTTTTTTTTGGAGGCGCCATCGGAGCTTGGCTGCGAATGGCTCATTTATTTTTTTTTCGATGAAAATTTGTGAAAACATGGTTTAAACAAAGACTAATATAATCACTAAGATGCGTAACGCCCATACATTGGTTTTGCAATATGCAGCTCGTTTTTTGGTGGCGACGAAAATTCCGCTCTCTCCGCTCGCACAAAGTAAAGAGCGTATTTGTTCGAGAAGACGATTTTCGTCCAGAAATCATTTCTGGACTAAGAAACTAATTGTGTGTCAAAAGAACTTCTATGATTGAACAGGATGATTATTTAAATTGCATTTATGTATATATGGCAATGAAGCTTGATGTAAAACTTTGTTATATACCTTAAATATTAATATCTGCATATTTAATTCATAGTTTCGTTTTACATATTTAAATTTAAGCTAAAAACATAACTTTTAATACAAAACATATAAAACTGCTTGATTAAATTTAAAAATATTTCAATAAAGATTAATATATTTGAATATACTATGATTGTTAAACAAAAACAAAGCGAAGTTTATTTAAATTGAATATATTTAAAGGATATTTAATTAAATATATGTCGCTTTGTTTTTTATCCATGGCTGTTTTTATTAACTTTAAAATGGAAATATTAAATTTAATTTTTATTCAAATATATTAAGCTTTGATCTAATGACTTAAAATATTTAAAGTAAATACGAATAACATCATATCTAATATTATCAATCTGCATTTAAATCTATTCTTATTTAGTCAAGCAGTTTTATTTGTCTTGTGTTAAAAGGTATGTTTTTATAATTAATTTAAATATATAAAACGAAACATTTAATTTGATATCCAGATATTAATTTTTATTTATCCATCGTTTTTTTTTGTATACCTAATAAATATTTAAAGCTAATATTATTATTTTATAAAACTATTTATTTATTTATTTATTAAACTATTTATAATAACACGAATTGAATGTTTTTTTCTAAATAATTAAAATAGTTAACTTACAAATATTTATATAAATTTAATTTATGATAATAATAAAATTTTATAATAATAATTTATATTATGATAATAATTTTATATAATGTTATTATAATACGTATAATATAACAAGAAAGGAAAGCTAACTTCGGGCGGAGCCGAAGTTGATATACCCTTGCAGAATACTCTGTAAATTATATTCTCCAAAATTATTCATATGATGCATTCTTAATACTCACAAAAAATCCCAACTTCCTAACTTAACAAACACCAAAGTTATTCCGATCAATCAGTTATATGGCGGCTATAGGATATAGTCGGCTGATCCTTATGAAATTTGGTAGGTCGGATTTATTGGCCAAATATAAAACCCATAGAAAATCCCAACTTCCTAACTTAACAAACACCAAAGTTATGGCATTTCCGATCAATCAGTTATATGGCAGCTATAGGATATAGTCGGCCGATCCTTATAAAATTTGGTAGGTCGGATTTATTGGCCAAATGTAACCCCCATAGAAAATGCCAACTTCCTAACTTTACAAACACCAAAGTTATGGCATTTCCGATCAATCAGTTATATGGCAGCTATAGGATATAGTCGGCCGATCCCGGCCGTTCCGACATATATACTGCGTGCAAAGTAAAGAAGGGTGTGTGCAAAGTTTGAACTCGATAGCTTTAAAACTGAGAGACTAGTTTGCGTAGAAACAGACAGACGGACAGACAGACGGACAGACAGACGGACAGACAGACGGACAGACAGACGGACAGACAGACGGACAGACAGACGGACAGACAGACGGACAGACGGACAGACGGACATGGCTATATCAACTCAGGAGGTGATCCTGATCAAGAATATATATACTTTATAGGGTCGGAGATGTCTCCTTCACTGCGTTGCACACTTTTGACCAAAATTATAATACCCTCTGCAAGGGTATAAAAATACCACATATTTTTTTAACCCATATATTTAAAATACAATAAATATAAAAATATTCATCCTGTTCAATCGCAAAATTTCTGAGACTCCTAAAAATCGTTCACACGTCGCTTGCTTAATACCCTAATGACAATTATTCCAATGTGAAGTCATGTATGAAATAAATTATGTTATTTTTTTAAACTTAGATATATTTGGTCATTACTAAAAAATATTATACATTCGAATAATTAGTAAATAAAGTAAATATAAAGGCAATACAAAATAAGTATTTTTAATAATGTTATAATTTTAAAATAAAGAGTATATTTCGACAGCGCGCTGCAGCGAATTTCTTCGCTTGTAAATACATGTGCACACAAACATTCGTCGGCTGTCGCAGTATGCACGCAAAAGAGCGGCTGGCTTTAGAGCGCTCTCTCGCTGGCTTTTGGGCGGAGAGCGAAAAGCCAGTTAAAAAGCCAGCACAAAAAATTCGTGTGCAAAAAAATCGTATGGCGTTACGCATCTTGGAGTTTATATTGGTCTTTGGTTTAAATGTATTTTAAATGTTGTATAGTTTAAATTTATCACATTTTCATCAGTATTTTATCGCATTTTATCAGAATTTCATCGTATTTTCATTAGTAAATAAACACATAATTTTATCAATATTTATATTTATTTAATTATAATATTTTCTTAGATTTATTGGTTATTATTATTTATTATAATTCTAAGTCTTAATCTTAATTAAATTTACGTTTTCTGTTGTGTCGCGGGTGTTGGGCTGCCTGAGGTTTCGGTGGTCTTGGGCACCTTTTTTTTACGGCTTGCTTTATGTGCTATAAAAAACTCAGTAGAGCTCGAAAAAAGTAATGCGGCCAGCTTAGTCTATGTTGGACTTACAGTTTTATTATAAGCTTCACCTAAAATAATGAATAAATATATTAGCAGTATAGGTACAGTTTAAGCGATAGAAAAACAGAAACAAAAATAATTTTACAATTTGCTGCCATTTTTTCACAAGTTGTATATATATTAAACAGATAAAATTGAATTTCTATATTCTATATTCTATATTTATTTTAATTCTTGTTGTTTATATTTATATTATTTTCTGCTCAAAAATTATTTTTTTAAGTTCCAAGGAGGCTCATTCTAATTATTTAATAATTAAATAAATAGCAATCACCTAAATTTCTGATAAATTTATAACCAGAGCTCCCAAATAACTGTCGACCGTTTCTTGTTGTCTGCAAGTAAGTGTCTTTTCCTGACTCTTTACGAAAAGACTCAGAGAGCAACCGATTTATGGGTTCTTGAATGAGCTTGCTCGCGCTCAGAGCAAAACCGTTTTTTTTCTATTCTGTTTGGTTCTGGTTGTTCCAAGACCGTTTTGTCGTGTTCAGTTAAGCAAAAGGTCTTTTGCGTATGTATTGCTAAAACAACTTCGAACAAACGCAAGAGCCCCGTTAAACCAATTGTTATTTACTTTGCCAAAGTTGACTTTATACTCTTTTCCCATAGATTCCATCCATTCGAAACGATTGGGATTTTTGACAAATGTAAAACCCCGATTCACACAGAGCACAACCACCATCCACCATCCACCATCCGACAACAGCTGATCTGATTCACTGTCAAGAAGAAGGACTCAGAGTTGCACCGAAAAAATATCGGCTAAGTAAAAGTTCGTAAAGTTTGGATGGGGAACTAACTGGGAAATTTTCGGAACAGCAACCCTTTTGGACCATCCGCTCAACGGATGGTGGATGGTGAAGAATTCTCTGAGGCAAACCGCTCCGCGTCAAAGCAGGGTACGTAAAACATGTCCGACTATGCAAAATAATTTTATTTAAATTTACATAATTAACGAATCCATTTCTTTCAAAACGATCATAAAGTATGTTATTTCAAAACGTAAATCCATAAAATAATATCATTAATAAGTATCAACTAAAATATTTATTACAAAAATAAAAATTATATTAGGCGTTTTTATTTTTATAGGCTGTTCTCCACCTGAGTGGTGGCTCAGCTTATGGGGAGAAAGACAGAGTAAGAGAAAGAGATGGACATTTTTCTGCGTTTCCTACGGATGTAGAGGGCGATCCTGCCAAAGACTCCTTGTAAAAAATCCCACAGCGCGAACGCAAAGTGAACGAAAATGATGTGGTCAGTGTGTGGTCAATGGTGTGGTCAATGCTTTATTGCGCTGCATACATGAGACTAAACATAACTTAAACATAAAACCGCACTCCCGCCCGCTATACTCCGCTGAAGCGAGAGCGGGAGATCGGCTCCGGCCGTCCGAGGTGTTCGGATCCGAAACCCGAGGCTCGCGCTCCGTAGCGCGAACGTTGCGAGAAAGCGAGCGAGGGAGCACAAGAAGGCGAGAGCGAAAGCTCGGAGAGCTCAGTGAGCAACGGCGGTGCATTGGGCCACTGACCTAATCATTCCGCCCCCCCTTGCAACTACTCGGGTTGCAACATAGCCTGGTTGCTCTTCTCACGCCTGGTAGCAGGCTCCGTACCCGACCCATCCAAACACGGTGCTCTGCCGACCGCTTCACGCTCGGATACATATCCGCGCCCAGGATGGTGGAGATCGTCGCGGGGAAACGGTCGTCAGCCAGCGTAATATCCAGGAAGTGGGTCCGCTCTATTTTAAAGATGACGTCGAGCCGGACAGCGCTGTCGATCTTAGACCCCACGATTGCCGAACAAATCTGTTCGCCTCCCACGTTGGTAGTCGGCAAGCGGAAACTCGTCGCTAGCGAGGAGTCGATGCAGCTCGTAGGCGTACACGGGTCGATGAGCGCCGCAGTGTCGAAGACTCGAGTCCCGGTGTACGAGTATAACAGCACCGAAGCATTCGGAAGTAGGTTGATACTGTGCCGCTGCGTGGCACCCCGACGAGGGGCAGAAATGGCTGAGAATCGGCTGAAGAATGCCGCGGAGCGTCGGAAGAGAGCCATGGAGTGGCGGACGAGGGCCGAGGAGCAGCTGAAGAGAGCTGTGGAGTGGCAACGGTTCTCTGCGACCGGCGTGCCGCCGACGACATTTCCGAAGCGGATGGATCCCGCTCCAGACTCGGCCACAGTAGGATTGGATACCTCGAGTACGTCTGTTTTCCAATGCGATGGCGCTGCGTGGACGTGGAGACATCGTGTGAGATCTGATTGGCGGAATAGGACAAATGAAAATTTTGGATCAGTACTGATAAGAACTACGGCTTAAAACTATGAACTTAAGTTACGAATCGGAGTGATGACTTAGAAAACCGGAGTGGAGGGACGACTGGTTATTGCGGGCAGGCGGGCGTTTCCATCGGAAGAAAGACGACCTTCGCTATGGGACGCTTAATGAGTCCCGCGCAGTGCGGATGTCGACCACACGAACATGGCCATCGGATCCTGGAAACACCGCGTCAATTCCGCCTAATCGCCACTCATTGGACAGAAGGTTGTCTTCCTTGACAATCACCCGGCACGGAGTTGTTCGCTACTTATTCCGCTAATGGAGTTCCTTGAGGTACTCCTCCTTCCATCGCAGACGAAATTGTTGATAAAGAGCCTTCAGGTGTTGCCAGGAGTTTATAATGGATGTGGTGTCCCCCTTTATCTCGGTTTCAACCATGGCGAGGAGGGGCCCTCCAACAAAATCTTGCACAGGCGAAAGTGCCAATAGGTCGGTGGGGTCATCGGACATCGGCGCGAGCGGACGCGAATTCAGGCATGCTTCGATCCTAGCCAGAAGCGTGGACAGCTTTTCGCGTCGCCTTAGACTTGTAAAACAGGGTCTTGAAGCTCTTAACACCTGCTTCCCACAAGCCTCCAATGTGGGGGGCTCCCGGAGGAATGAACTGCCAGAGCAGCTGCTGGTGACTATAGGCACCTGTCACAGCTTCTTTGAGAGCTTGGAGAAATTCGCGGGAGAGTAGGTCAGCCGCAAACTCAAAGGTCTTCCCATTGTCCGACTGAACTTGACGGGGGCATTCCTCCCGTTTAGTTTTTGATATCGAAGGGACCGGCATAGTCCACACCAGTATATGAGAAAAGGTCCGTTCTTTGGGTAAGTCTCCCATGATTTGCGTTTGCAACTTTTTTTTGTGGATAACGCATATATGATTGCAGGAATATATGCCGGACTTGACCAAATTCCTCACCCTCGAGAACTTGGAACGGATCAGACGGATCATCAGCTAATTGCCGCCGTGCAGGGATATGCGATGCGTAAAATGGACGAGGAGTCGAGACAGATGGCAGTCGTATGGAAGGATGACAGGATGCCGTTCATACTGGAGAAGTTCGGATGCCGTGACCCGGCCACATGCTCTCATGAGCTCTTGGCAATCAAGGTACGGGTTCAGGTTTTGGAGAAGGCTGGATGCCGGCACTAGCCGTTTTTGGCTTAAGCAGCCAATCTGCGTTGCGTGACGGAAATCAGCAAACGCACGGCCGACGCAATATCAGGACCTGTCAAGAGATCCTCAAATGGAGACATGAGCTTTCGCGAGCGCTGGATGAGTCGATGAGCGTAAGCGAGGACTTGCAACGCCTTGTCGAGTGTGGAAAAACTCAAGAAAGTCTTCAGGGGGAGCCTTCGCAACATGGACTTTGACTGCTAGCTTCTCGAGTTCAGTCACAGGGGGTTCATAGCCTTGAATGGGGTACTCGCAGCGAGGCCTTTGCAGCCAGGCAGGACTATTCCACCACAGCTGGCTGTCTGCGAGGTCTTGAAGCGCTACGCCCCGGCTAGCGAGATCTGCCGGGTTATGCGCGGAACGAACATGTGCCCATTTCTCCACCTAGGTGAACTGGGTGATCTTGGTCACCCGATTTGCCACGAACGTTGTCCAGTGGCACGCCGGTTTATGCAACCAGACGAGAACAATCGTCGGTCCGGGCATCTTCGGAAGAACGGCGACGGCCAGTTCGGACAATAATAAGGCTCCGCACAAATTGATCCGCGGGAGCGACACCGTTTTTACTGGGGCCACCCGCGACTTTGCCGTTAGCAAGTTTACCAATACCGCGGACCCGATTTCAAGGAAATCAGCGCGAAGGTGATGGTCACTCTGGATGTTGGCCAAAATCGCCTTACTATTGGATTTCCATTTTCTAAGGGGGAATCCTGACGAACGCAGGGCCCCTGCGAGTACGTTGTCGACGTACATGTACTGTCGGATAATCCGACTCGCCTGCGGATACCTCGACTCTTCGTCGTCGACAAGCTGTTGCAAGACACGGATCGCTAGGAACGGGGCACAATTGACTCCGAAGGTGACAGTCTTCAATTCATAGTCGCGGATTTCCCCATCGGAATATTTGGAGTCTACCCAAATTTGCCGATACATCTTCTCGATGTAGGCGTCGCCACTTTAGAATTTAAATCGTGAGGTCAGACTGTTAGACCGGGCCCGCGTAAAGTATCTCATTCAGAATGGTCCCGTTTGCGGAAGGGCTAGAAGCGTTGAAAACCACCCTCACTTTAGTGGTTGTGCTCTCAGGCTTGAGAACAGCATGATGTGGAAGGTAGTAAGTGGCGGAACTGCTCGTCAAAGAAACCTCAGTCTTCCTCCACCTCCCAGAATTTGGTTAAGAGCTGATCCAACGAGTCGTCGAGGCCACAGGTAACTCGCGTGGAGAAGGCGGACACATATGGGGCCTGTCAACAGCCATCCAAAAATTGTTTCTGGCCGAGAAGTGAACCGCAAATGTTAGTCCTGGAGTTGCCGAGGAGGATAGACGGAAGAATGTCGGCTCCTATCAAGACATCGATATGGAAGCTCTCGAAGAACTTGGGGTCCGCAAGAGGGATGTCAGGAATTCCTTTAAGAAGATCTCGAGGGACTGGATACGGAGGCAGATTACCGGCCAGCTGCGGAAGAACGTAAGCAGTGCCTGGAAATTGCACCTAGATGGCAAATGTTAATAAGGGATGTGCCCAGTAGGACGGGTCTTGAGCCGGAAGCGAAGCACACTTGCACATCAGAGCGATCCTCTGTGGCGCTCGTGCCTCTTGTAGTAGGCGCGGGTCGAGACCTGGCTGGCGCAGACGGACTTGGAGCGGCCGCGAATGGATTACCGCGGTGCACGAGGGTATGATGACGGCTGTGGCATGTGAAGCAGCTATAGGCGCTTGTACAATTCCGTTGCAAGTGCCCTCGTGCAAAAAAGTTCAGGCAAAGCTGATTTTTCTTAATGTAGTCGGAGCGACCATTTACATCCGGGGCGTGCGCATCGCCACTTATTTTGGACAGTAGGTGTTACAACTCCTCCACCGGTGTAACACGCGTTAAACGGTTGTGGATGTATATCGCGGTGAAAAGATTTCGCGGTGAAAAGATTTCTTAAAAGATTTCACCAGCGAAAACTTCTGTGTCCACTGGTGGCAAACGACAACCCGTAGGCGGGGGTGTAGGAACACTGGCGGAAGCTTGAGTGGGCTGGGAGTCGGCCTTGTCTATTATGTCCTGAAGCTAGACCAAACACCTCGATAGGCGGAGTAGCAGTAACTGTACTTGGATTCAAGCACTGTCGAGGTGGTCGTACTGTCGGTGAACGCGGAAAGAGGATTGGAGCAACTTTCATAGCTCTTCTCCACTTTTTCCCTCAAAGCCCGGATTTGGTCCCGATTGAATTGGCACATGCCAGGGGAAAGTCGTTCATGTTCAGCGGCGCTCGGAGTATGAATATCCGCTTGAAATTGGATAACTCGGTCTGTTGTGGCAATCAACTTTTTGAGGGCGATGTCTATCGCAGTTTGAGCCATCTTGGACTCCGACCAAGAAATCCTTGTCGGGGGACCGGTGTTAGTCTCGACGAACTCGTCTCTTTTTGCCCTTGGAATGGCAGTGGCAGCATTTGGCCTTAATTGAGACGGCCGTGACGACGCGGATTCGGACCTGTCCAAACGAATCGATGGGATCGACCGCGGTTTCTTGTCGTCTCCCGTGGGCATTCTTATCAACTGACCTGAGCAAGGGGCGTCTCGTTCGGAACGTGAGGATATTCACAGTTAAGCTCTCGGTGCGATCTGGGTCGCCAACGAGTTGTTCGTCGCTGCAAATGAACGAACGACAAAATAAACTATAGTCGAATGCTGCCACAGGAGGAGCTATTCGGCGTTTTTGACGAATGTTGAATTTTTTTTTATTATGAAAACAGAGCTTAAAACGCAACCAGAGATGGAAAAAAAACACCGAGAACGGTCACACTGTTAATTTGAGCGGAGTAGAAGGCACAGTGCAGTAAAAACAAGAAGTATCTGAAAAAAATATTTGGAAATCGATGAAAATGTTTTTATTTAATCTTGTTACTCCCTTTGTTCACTTCTGTTTTTTTGTTTATTTTAATTATATTATTACCTTTGTTATTGTTTGCAAAATAATTTAATTGTATATATTTATTTTTTAAAGGTTGGGAAATATTTTCGGTGTCAAAAAGAAATTGATTAATTACTATCCATTGGCCCTAAATAATAAATATAAATGAATAATTAAATAATAATTATAATTAAACAATAATTATAAATGAATAATATTTATAATTAAATAATAATTATAATTATTATAAATAATTTTTTTCGAATTTATTTATTTATTTCGGGAGAAATAAGCGTGGGTAATGCGTCGGCAGCGCAGTGCATGCGTGAGGGGCCCGGGAGAGAGAGAGAAGAAAAAAACAGCAACAATAACTACACGGCCGCAGCAGCGGTTAATGTGTCCATTTTTTTTAAATTTCTTTTGGCTTGTTATGACTGTGCGTAGGTTAGTTCCTGTATAAAATATATAAATGCGGGATGAACATGCGCAGAATGTATTTTTTTTTTATTCATAAATTACATACATAGACATAAATAAATATACATATGACGTGAAGCATTGCTTCGCAAGGCTGGCTGGACTGTCTAGGGCCTCTCGTTCCTTATGCGTTCTAGCCGCCTCAGTTCCGTCGTGACTTCCGCAGCCAGACTGCATACAGCTGTCCAGTTATCCTGACTCTCCAGCATACTAGGTACAAGTCCCTCCACTGTGATCGGGGTCCCCAGGATTTGTTCAGCTCTTAGGCGTTCTTCTCCAAACCTGACACAAGGGGGTTGTGCGTGTTCGGCATTTTCCACTGTTCCGCAGGTATCGCAGATTGGGCTTCTCTCGTGGCCGAAGCGATGTAAATACTCCTTAAAGCATCCATGTCCGCTCAGCACCTGTGTCAGATGGAACGTTAGTTCGCCGTGTGGTCTGTTTACCCAAGCCGCTATATTGGGGATGAGTCGGTGCGTCTACCGGTCGGTTTCTGCCCTATCCCATCTTTGCTGCCAGTTTTCAAGGGACTTTGTTCTTGACCTTAGTTTTGCCAAGTGGTGGTCCGCCTGTGTATCAGCTACTTTTCTCGCTGCGAAGTTCTCCTTGGCCTCCACAAGATGTATGTGTGAGCGTATGTGTTGGATGCTGTTCTTTGTCATACAGTCGAAACCCAATAAGTTGATAAGAACTACGGCTTAAAACTATGAGCTTAAGTTACGAATCGGAGTGATGACTTAGAAAACCGGAGTGGAGGGACGACTGGTTATTGCGGGCAGGCGGGCGTTTCCATCGGAAGAAAGACGACCTTCGCTATGGGACGCTTAATGAGTCCCGCGCAGTGCGGATGTCGACCACACGAACATGGCCATCGGATCCTGGAAACACCGCGTCAATTCCGCCTAATCGCCACTCATTGGACAGAAGGTTGTCTTCCTTGACAATCACCCGGCACGGAGTTGTTCGCTACTTATTCCGCTAATGGAGTTCCTTGAGGTACTCCTCCTTCCATCGCAGACGAAATTGTTGATAAAGAGCCTTCAGGTGTTGCCAGGAGTTTATAATGGATGTGGTGTCCCCCTTTATCTCGGTTTCAACCATGGCGAGGAGGGGCCCTCCAACAAAATCTTGCACAGGCGAAAGTGCCAATAGGTCGGTGGGGTCATCGGACATCGGCGCGAGCGGACGCGAATTCAGGCATGCTTCGATCCTAGCCAGAAGCGTGGACAGCTTTTCGCGTCGCCTTAGACTTGTAAAACAGGGTCTTGAAGCTCTTAACACCTGCTTCCCACAAGCCTCCAATGTGGGGGGCTCCCGGAGGAATGAACTGCCAGAGCAGCTGCTGGTGACTATAGGCACCTGTCACAGCTTCTTTGAGAGCTTGGAGAAATTCGCGGGAGAGTAGGGCAGCCGCAAACTCAAAGGTCTTCCCATTGTCCGACTGAACTTGACGGGGGCATTCCTCCCGTTTAGTTTTTGATATCGAAGGGACCGGCATAGTCCACACCAGTATATGAGAAAAGGTCCGTTCTTTGGGTAAGTCTCCCATGATTTGCGTTTGCAACTTTTTTTTTGTGGATAACGCATATATGATTGCAGGAATATATGCCGGACTTGACCAAATTCCTCACCCTCGAGAACTTGGAACGGATCAGACGGATCATCAGCTAATTGCCGCCGTGCAGGGATATGCGATGCG